ATGCCTCACCTTTATTTTCTATTTTATTCGACTTCGTATTACTTTACCTTTTTATTTGATAAATAGGTAGCAATGTGAAATTCGTATCGTATAAAAATTGGCACGAAAGATAGGCGAGACAGGATCCATTTATACTTAATTGTCGGCACAACTGGCAGCGTCAGTTATGGAAGAACTTGTGGAATTTAATCCGTTTCTCGGTTGATTATTCCAAGATTACGGATGAAGAAAAACTGGATCGTGGGAACTGGAATTTGTCCAGCACGATTCGTCGATACAGTTCTTCAAACGACGACGACGGCGGCGATAGAGATTGGACGAAATCGGAAAGCGAATCTCTCAAGCTCGTAGCGCCAGGTCAGATTCGGCTAATGAAAGCTCTCGATCGTTCCAGGCAAAGCCAGGCTCCGATCCAATTTGGATTTTCATCGGAACTCACTTCGAAGGTTATTACGGCGATTCATCGGGAAAAAAGAAACGATAGTTTCTATATATAGGGAATAAACATTCCCTTCCATCGATAATCCTCCTCTCGACGTTCTCTTCAAATCGAACCTCTAGGGAAGAAACTCTTGCTAGTTTGCTGCTGAGAAATCCTGTTAAATGACCAACTGGCTGGATGCAGTTCGGATCGTAATCGAGGTTGGAAAATTTGGTCGTTAAAATTTTGCTGGTTGGTAATTGGCGTGAAACTGGGAAACGAGTACTCGCTTTCAGTCGAGAGTTAACGCGACTCGACACGAGCGAACCCCGCTTATGAATATCGATTCCCGTTCGTGGAATTCTGCCAGAAATTCCAAAGTCAACGTGTCGCGTGTCTACACGTAAACAGACGCGACAGTGATTTTTCACGGTGTAGAAAGTTGAAAGTGCAAGACAAAATTGAATACCACTTGGAACGATCGACGAAGAATATTTTTCGAAGACTCCGAGTAACATTTTGATTATTCATAGGATAGGAATTTGAACGTTGAAACGATTAAGTTGTGATCAGAATCGACGGTGAATAGAATCAACGTACGCATCTGGATTCAATCCCGCCAACTTATGCAACGTGCGGAGGAAACGTCGCTGCCTTTTGTCATCTTGAACGCATCAGGATGGAATGGCAGTTCTCTACGTTCTTCGTAACAGAAATATATACCTATACGTTGTGAAAATTCCAACGATAATCTTGGGATAGTCAATAGGATTTGCGCATATTTCAGCGATGAATTCAAAAATTCAGGCTATAACTCAGAGGAAGAAAGTTTAAAGAGACGATACGCGAATAATCCTCCATAATTTCTCGCGCTGATCGACATATGCAAAGCTCTGAAACTACGAAACGAAGTAGAGGGAAGAAAGGCACGCGAAGGTAGATAAGAGATAATCATTTTGCCGCGCTTTTACGCTAAACTCGAGCATGGATTGGAAAAGCGGGACAGGCTCGTGCGCGCTGATTGGCCTGATTGCTGACGGTCGTAGGTCAATAAACCATTTAACATGAGAGACGCAGACCAGTCCGTTGGATCGCACGACACCTAAGAGGCCTGGCTGCCTCGTGATATATCGATTGAAAAACGAAAGTTTCACGGAACAACGCGCTGGGAAATTCCTCGTGTACCTTAAACACTCCTTCGTTCGCGTCTCTTTTTCCAACTCCATTCATACTCCCTTTTTTTCCATCGATTACTTCCCGGTTTATTCAGAAGCGGAGTAGTAGCCTCGTTCACCTCTTCTGGGAGTATGTACCGTGTGTGACACTGTGTGGCTCCTCTTCAAAGAGTCACGCGACGTTTCAAGGATTCACGGCTATTCCTATCCGTGAAAGGGGCGACGGTGGAGATATTTTGCTCCGTTCCGTTTCATTCGCTCATTCACGATCTGTTTTTCACCGCGCGATTCGTGGAAACGCGTAAAACCGAGAAAAAATAAGCTAGCGGTTGCATTAGAGAGAGAGATAAGCTTATGAGAACGCGTTAGGACTACTGTTTCATTCGTCGATGCAAATATGTCGATAAATAAGTAATTGGCTATGGAGACAAATTCGAAAAATTCACATTTTAAAAAAGTTTCTCAGAGGGATTGGACAAATCCGTTGTTCTTTCGCGAGAATTAGCTCGAAGGATCAATCTCGATTCTCCGTGGACCAGCAGTGGCCATAAAAAGGAGCTTACGCTGTAAGGAGTTCTTTTACAGCCTCTATAATTTCGAAACTCAATCCGATCAGAGTCTGGTATCGTGAAATGCCAAGCTTCCGAGCTTTGTTTTCCCAGCTACTTTTCCTTAAGAATTCCCCGCTTCCGTAGCATAGTCTCTTCGATCCCAAAATACCTGTTCAGGGCTACACTTGACGAATGAAGTCGCTGTATTGTTCTGTCACGTGAAACTTAGAACGTCGAGTCTGATCCAAAGATAACTAGATGGTAATTCTGTCTAAATTTTCATTTCCTCCATGTATCTAACAGATTCCAAGAGGAAGTCTAATAATAAGAGAAACGAAGAAGAAATTCTGAAGCAGTTGGTTCGGTTATCGAAGAATTAACTGTTACAGAGTCACGAGGTTCTACTTGAGACATTGTTGCGTGACTGTTCGTCGACGAGTGACATTAACACACGTGACATTCAGAGTAAAACACGAGTATTTCGTGATTTTAGGGAACACTTCGTGGGAGACATGGGTGCCACTTCGTTTTATAACTCGTGGTGTGGTATGAGTGCCGTGCAAGGAGCAATTTCGGCGGGCAGAAATATGAAATCCGAAACATCTGGCGATGTCAGAGACGATTAAACCGCGCGCGGTTTGCCGCGGGATTTTTGTAGACCGATAAAGGTCCGTTTAACGACGCGCGCAACCGCAGGCTATGACGCGTTTCTGTCGCGAGTAATCACGCAGAACGTGATAATTAATTCCTCAAGCACACGGGGCTCGGCGGAACCGCGAGAAGCTGTCATTGGTAAGGTGAAAGCACTGTGCGATTGCACCCGTTATTGATCGCGTTTATTCCTTGATGAATTGTGCATTGATTCGCGGCTCGTGTTATCAATTGAAAAGAATTCTGCTGGCTGTCTATTGTGGTTCGCAAAAGTTTTATCGTTTCGATTCAGATTCGAAGTTTCAAATGAAAAAATTCAAATTCACAAATTTAGAATTTCTTAAATTTGAAATTGAATTCGAAATCTATCTCCTCTCCTTCCCCGTGACTTAATTCAATCCTCGAAACTGGACCAAAGCAATTTCTTCTCGTCGGCGTATCTTGCCATACTTCCAAAAGCACGACACGTGTCAAACTTTTTAATCCGTCGTCGAGAGCAACGCGGGGGGCCTCTTCGTACAGAATGAAGCGAAGCTCAACTTTGCAATTACCCCGGGTTGGAAATAGGCAGAATGGAAAAAGTCGCGTGCAACAATTTTAAGTCGTTTCAACATCGAAGCTACCGAGCAACATTCAAGTCCTTAAAAGTAATCTCGTACGCCACGTGCACAAGCCAACTTTCCGCGTTTTATCGTCCCGTTTGCCCTCGGCGGCATCAACGTCGTCGTCGTGAAAACGACAGACATATGTACCTACAGCTCTAAGCGTAAATTTCGCTTGTCCGAAGTATTATTTGAACGAATGTAATGTGAGTAGCAACCGATTCGTACTGATTAACACCCTCGAGGAAACGAAATAACTGATTAGAATCACGAGACTCTCAATTTTTCTACGTAATCGGATCACGTTTCGTTCGAATCATCTCAACGCGACCGATCGATTCATTTGTTAACTCCAATACAGGTACACTTGCCTCAACATCTCGCGGACCAACCACGAAAAGGCACACGCTCTAACTTTTCGTAAGGAAAAGCAGAACGTTAAAATGGAAGATGAAAAATGGTAAAAAATACATGTGAAACGATATCGCGTGAGGAAGCGGCACGTCTTTAATCAATAAAGGCTTCTTTGACAGATTAACAAATAACTGGACGCGGTAAATGTGTTTCGTGGAAATTAAAGTACTTATTACATCGTCAAGGGCAAAAAACAAGTAGCGGATGAAGCATCGGCCGATTCCAACAAAAAGTCATCAACATTCCAATAGAAACGCAGAATACGAGATAATCAAGTTGTTTACTTCTTTTTTCTTTTGCAATCGTTTAATAAAATCTATAACACATATCTGATGCATGTTGTATTAAAGAAATATCGTTACTCTTTTTCTTACGGTTGTTCGCTCTTAGAATATCTGGTCGGCGAACCTCGAAATCCTTTCCTCGAACGATGCACAAACAACATTCGGAGAAGAAAGTTAAACGAAGAGCCAGTGTTGTTTTCAGCGGTGTTAAAAATACTACATCGACGAATCACTTAACTGCGACACTTATCTGCTTTCGATGCTCGTTAATTCTTCTCCACGTAATTAGAAAACGCTGAAACGAAGGCTGGCTATTTTTTCCAGTAGTAAAGTCTCCTTAGAACGCAACTATGACAACTGTTTTATCAGTTGCAATTGACCAATTCATTTGTTAACACTAGGTTTACAGATATCGTTTACCCTTCTCTGCTACCACTTACGCTTATCATAAATTTTATATAAATATATCCGACGATTGCAAAAGTTCGTACCCGATTTTCAGAGGTGGCGAGAACCTTATCGACGTCAGCACAGATGTTTCTTTCAGCGTAACGTTACATTCCTATCGAAAGATACGCCGCTTGTGTTTCATTTTCAAATAATTATTCATTTCGTTCCATTTCAGTTTCGAGTGAAATCTACTTTTGCGCACACCGATTGTGTTTTATTTTCTAATCGGGCACCAACTGTCGCAATCACCCAATACAATATCACGTAGTTTCATTTATACGTTGACAGTGTACAATATGTTGTTTTTTAAAGAAAATACGCGGTTTCGTTCAATTTCACGCGTGTCCGTACAGATAGGTATATAAGAAATGTCCGTAAACTTAGTGTTAAAAATGTAAAACGTTACTCGATGGTTGGAAGAGGAAGAATGAAACGGAGAAGAAAGGACTTACCGATACCCTCTTGCCAAAACCAAGGAAGGACAGCTTCCTCTTGGTGTTCTCCATCGTTCACCGGTCGCGGTAGCCGCTGCAGCAGCTATCAGCTTAAGGTGTTGTCTTTTTCCTGGGTGCTCGGCCGATCCTGAGTCGGGACGGCGATGTCCACATGTGGAGGAGTCGCTGAGATGGCAGCTCCGTTCTGCTAGCTACGAAGAAGAAGAAGAAGAAAAGAAAACATGAATTTTTCGGTAATTTTTGGATTTTTCTTCACGGTTAATTGTAACGCTAGAAGAACATCGAAGGTAAAGTTGAAGAAATATCTTGGTCCACGAAACGATAGAAACGTGAAACGATCCACTGGACAGGTTTTCTCTTCTAGGTAGCGATATCAGAGTTCTAAAGACGGCAAAGCAAATTCGAGGAGGCTTCCAGCTGACGTTTACGACCCTTCTCTACCGAGAAAGAAGGTGGAAAAATGAACAGATGCTTATCGAAGTGTCGCAAAAGACGGAAACCCTTGAATTTAGGTTTCAGTTGGTGAAATTAACAGCCACAGATGGAAGTAATGGAAAAAAGTCAAGAATAATATCGATACGATCAAGTAGATGAAAAAGAGAATCGTTTGTTCACTTGACCACAATGGAGACGTCTAATAAGAATGGAGAAGAATGCGGTCAAGTTGACAGCAAGGAGCGAATACAGACCTTTAAGTGAAACAATGCGGTGGTCTAACGTCACGAGGACGACGAGAACCACGATGATCAGAATCGCGCGAGCTAACTCGAGAACACTTGTTCGCGAACTAAGGATCGTGGAGATCTCTCGAACGACTGAGCCACTATCGAGAAGGGGAGGTGACTCGACAGCAGTCACCGACCGACTGACTTCGTTCGAGGCTGCTAGCAACGCAACATCCATCCAGAAGGGAGCAATTCTAATATAATTTGATAAATAAAGTCCAGGATGTGGCGTAGCGTTCGCGACCGTAAACAACGAAATAAACCGATATACGTCTCTTCCCGATCGTTCAGTTCTTCAACGCGACACATCCCTGTCGGTTCTCGTTGAAAAGATGAACGATCGTCGTTGAAATATTGCCTGCAACAGATCTAAGATCATATTTCCTCTTTTAAGTAATACACCATGAATATTTCCTCTTTTTATTGCGAAGGATTTTCCGTTTTATATCGTGTCATTTTTGCGAGAACCTGCGACGAGTTCTCGCATCGATAATTTAAGGATCGCGAGAATTGAAACACGAGGATTAGCTACGCTGCTCTTCTCACTCATCTCTAATTACACGCTTGGCTCCGATAGAACAGTGACGTAACCAAATGCCTGACACTTTTCTGTCGCCTATTCGATTAGCCTATACGATACCTGGCCCACGATATTTAGTCGCGTGCTCCGACAACATTCCCAGCCTCTTCTCTCATCCAGGATTATCTCCGATACGCATCTATTATAGATAACAGAAAGTTGCCGGTGATAATTAACTACGTGTTTTATTCCATTCTTCGTGACATCATTCTCGCTTCTTTTTTTCTCTCTACAGTAATCGCCCGATAAACTGACAATTATAAATACCACCCGCGATACGTCGAAACAGTCCGTAATTGACTGTTTAACTTTCCTTTAAATTATTATCCCGTCGCGTATTCCAGAACATTTCTCGGACGCGCAAGATTGCATCAAATAATGAGATAATTGGCGTTCTTTGGAAAAAAAAATGTAAGAAATTTCTCAGAACGGAGAATCAACTGGAATAAACGAACGCTGGAAATAGAGGACAAATGCTTACGTATAATGTACAAATCACCTCGTGATCGCAGAATTGCCCGAAGACACGAGCGTGACACTTCCAAAATATATATTATCGAGGCAAGGTATGCTAAGTACCACCGCGTGATACGACGTCTCGAGATTCTTCAATTTCTCCTATTGAGTGTCTTACAATGGACAAAAAAATCACTTAGCCGGTAGATGTAGATACTTCATTACACCCGACTTGATTTACGACCTTCTTTAACATGGCGGCACCGTCCGTTCTATTGTTCTTCTTTACGCTATTCTAATCCTCGTCGTCTATTATTCGGAAACAGATAAATCTCGTACGGGCAATAAAGTCCGAGTGACTAAGGAATGGAAAACAGCTTCGCCATTCTTCCGACAGAATGGAGCATTTTTTCTCTTTGCTCGTGCAATTTTTCGTTGCAGCAGCCCCGTCGTGCGAAGAATGTGCCTCGGTACAAAAAGGATTACGAGAGCCGCATACAATTTTCGCTTCTCGCCGACAGTCGGAAGAAAACAGTCGGTGGTGTTTCAGCTAAGCTTGAAAAACGTGTTGCCCGGTTTATCTACCGGAGCCTACCTACACCTAACAACTGTTAACGCGAAAGAATACGAAGAAATAGCGTCTGTATAATTCGACGATTCGAGGAATTTGCAGAGATCGAAAGGGAGTAGGAGAAACAGAGAAGACTTTGCAGAAACGCAGGAGAATCCTAATCAAGAGCGCGTATAAATTTTCAATTACTCCGAGGAACTCGATCTCTCCGGAGGATAGTATACGTAATAAATAGCGACGAGTCGGTGATCTCGAAAGTGCTTAACCATTCCGCACAGTGAACGGAACAACAAATGAATCACCGGTAAGATTAATTTCCACGCGAAACTCTTTAATACCTGTTGTCACCTTCGCGAAGATACTCCGTTTCGATCTCGTAAAACCACCGATAATCGTTCGTTTATTCGATCGTGGATCGCGACTGACTGGATCGACACGCGAATATATAGCGTTTATCGCCGAACTACGGCTCTCGTCGTCAACGTGAGAGAGAGAGAGACAACGAAGACGGTAGGAAGGACATTTCACAATGAGAATTCGTATCTCTCGATTGAACACGTTGGAATTGAAACTCGCGAAACACCGATCGAAGAGCTCTGGTATATTCGGCGAAGGAGAGACTTCTGTTCACGGACGAACGTGCTCCGACAGCCAGACATTTCGAAGGTGTGTTCTCCAGCGATGAAAAGATCTCTCGCGAGAGAGACAACCGGCTCCTCCGTTTGTGTTACCTCCGCGAAAAGACCCATCTCCTTTTGTCGACGCAACATCTGTCAAGGTGTTGCGGCAAATTGCGTTCTTGTTTTTTCTCCTCACGTCCTTCCTACTCCCCTTTTGTCGTTCTCTATCAACACCACGTACGGTTGCCCGCCTCTTGATAACGCGCGAATTTCGCTTATTTCGCGTTACTCCTTATCGCTCTTTAATTCGACACCGGAGAGCCAATGTCTCTATCGCGTTTTTGCTGTTTGAATAATATTACACGGTCTGTACTATATAGAATACCTATTTCGTAATAAATATCCGAAATTGGCACATAGACCTTCCGTTGTTCGTTTACTTCCTATTAGCGACGGCTGAACGAATCATTACCGCGAATCTACTGGCTGTGCAAAGAAATAATTTACTACTTTTTCGTGCACTTGAAAAGATTGTTCAACGCTGGAACGATCCGGCTGGGTGAGAAAACTAGCGACTTCCGAAAAGTGAATTTTTATGTAACTTAATCGATGCAAATGGAAGTAAACGTGCAGAAAATGAAGTTGGAATGTTAGAAACTTATCAGTGTCGAATATTCACTTTTTTGGAAAATTGACAGTGGGTCATTTTTGACCCGGCCGGTCGCTCTAGCGTTAAATTACAGGCTACTTGTTTAAATGGAGCAAGAAATTTGATGAAGAAGAACGGTAGATTACGTATTTAGAGGGATAATAGGAGCACAGAGAATACTAAAACGAAAGTATTTATGTACCTCGTAGCGATCGTGATACGAACAGACTAAAGTCACGTATCAGTCGTGACATAATTTAACCTTGTTTACCTAGCGTGGCTCCTTACGAACCGTCAAAACCTTACTTCGTTAAACCTGTTTCGAAGTTGCTACGCGTGTAGCGTGCCAGACACTAGGCATAAACCATAAC